GATAACTTAATTGTAAATATACAAAGTTGAGTGTATATATGTAATATATATAATATATATATTGGAAAAAGAAAGATAGATACGATAGATACGCTTCAATTCTTTCTCTCGACGCTCCATCGTCCGTCTCAATTTTCCTCTTTTCCCTCTACACCCTCCATAACCATCAATCACTTAGCACGCTTTATATACAATTCGTCCAGATAAACTGGAAAACTCGTCGTTCTCAATCTTATTATTATTTCTTATATCGCGTTTACGGGATATTTCTCGACTTTCTTTTCTTTTTTACGCGTAATCGCAACGTAATTTCTTTCCCCTTTCATCCTCCTCGAGAGTTTCCAAGAACGAGTTATCTTTAAGGAGAGATAAGTTGGGCGGTTCCCTGATCAACAATCAGTTTCGAATAGACGGGAGGGCGGTGGTGTCACTCTCTTTACGAGTACGTGCGCGCAAGACACGTGCTTGTCGGCGTCTCGATAATGCTTTGACGTCAACTTTTCAAGCGAATCACGGTACGGTAGCGAGGCGGTAAGTTGGTTGCCAGACGAAAGTCATTTACTAGCCGTGGAGAAGAGCGTAACCGGCCGTGAAGGAGGGCTTGAACAGGGCATTGTTGTGTCGCTGAAAGGAAGGAGGGGGAGGGGGAGGAGGAGGAGGAGGAGGAGGAACCTCTTGAGGAACTTTTATCGCTTCGTTGCTGACCTACCTGCGGCCCATTATCAATGTACCGCCGCCTATATGCCCGGGAAAAGCTACTTTCCCGCATTATCCGGGGATTTACACTTCTCGCCGTTCCTTCGTTGATTCTGAATATAAACGATTCCCACGCGGCCGCCACCGATACATTTCCCATCGATCGAGATTAAAACGTTAAACGCGAAACATCCTCGATATCATTCTGGAAAAGGAAATATCGATCGATATAAATTAACCTTCGTTGGTTAATTTTTAGAGAATTTTTAGAGATCGAATCAATACGTTGATTATCGAAATTATTTATTAATAACGCGAGCTATTAAAGAAAATACGGGAAATATATATTTGTACATATAAACGTTTCGTTCGAATTCCTCGCGTAACATTTGAATAACATTTAAATTCGTTTGCGTACTACTATCTACGAGGGTAACATTTTGTATATGAAAATTTAATAATTCCTATTTCACGATCCTGTCCCGTTTTTATATTTCTACCTTTTTTTCTCTCTTTTTACGACGCATCAGTGCGCGTTTCTATAGAAATAACAAACGCGTAAAAATCCTTCCTTGGTGTCGATACCACCACTTTTACGTTACGTTAGATATTACTAACCCCCGTTGATTTCGTTAATCGAGGAAAATTACGTAAAAAGTACGTATTGCGTATTAATTATCGGCTCGCAAATGAAATTTATACATTCCATTCGGCCGAGCGGAGGGATAAATATTGGCGGGGCACGGCCGGTTTCATTGATACCGCGGCCGTAAAATTACAATCGAAACGCCCGTTGAAACTGCATATCCGCAAGAACTGTCCCCGTATTTACGATTTTATGGGCCGCGGTATCGATTCCAACTCGGTTGGAAATTCGCCCAATGCATCGGATCTGCCCGCTATTCTACTCTCCAATGCGCGAAAATTATGCGTTCGAGATACGTTTTGTCCGTATCGAACAACGTGTACGTCTATTCGGTAAATAACTCTCATCGAAATTAACAAACGTTCCTCGATAAAGATGCGTCAAGCCCTCGATCAAAAACGAACAACGCTTCGTCTTTTTCGATAAATCCAAAAATCGTTGGTTTATCGATCTTTTTTCTTTATTCTTTTTTTTTTTTTTTTTTTTTTTT